AAGGTCATACCATTCGCAAGTAGCAGTGCCACTGTTGTCCCGAGTCCTCCACCCACCCCCATGGGGTTTTTGCTCCATGAACCACAAGGCACATGCTGCAAAGACTGCAACTGTGTGTGCGCGCACTGTGTCCTGGCCTTCACCTAAGCAATACCATCAATGAAATCATGGACTTTGAACATTCCCTGCGTATTTCCTAATACACATTGAAACAAACACATAACTGTTAACATTTAAAAGGTTTATCTGGATATACCCTAAAGTAATTTTGTGTACCACATGGGGTATATATGTCACACTTTGAGAGTCACTGCACTTTCCCATGTTGGCCTTGAAAGGGGGTGTGCCTGTGTAGAATTTGAATTCATTCAAATGATACTCTATGTTGGTCAGGGTTATTTGGCACATATACCTCCACTAAAACGGTTCTCAGAAGAATGCTTTCTTCTGTTATTGTTCTGGCCAGTAATGGGATCCTAAGGTGCTTGCAAAGCACTTGAATAAAAAGCAGTGGACATGAATAAAAGACTGATGGCCAGCATGCCCTTGTCTACATAGCTCCTGGAAGCTGCTACTGCAGACCAAACTCCACCCCAGGGACGGTTCCCTGGCGCTGCAGCAACAGTCTACAGCCACCAGAGGGCAGTAACACAAACCAGATTTTTCATTTGGATCCAAATGTGGATGCACAGTTTAATAATATGTAAAGCCTATTATTACAAGCTTTTCCTTTCCCCACCCCCTATTAATGAAAAAATGCCCAGGGGTAATGCAGATATTTCTAAATACAGTGCAAGAAAGGGCAATCTGCACTCATACACAGGGAGTCTAACACACAGTAATAAGTGGGAATGAAAATAATCACCCAGATGCAACTAAACCATTAAGGCTAAAGATTTAGCCGCCTATATGGCTGCATACATTGAAACAGAGATACTGAACTCCAGAAATGGCATTTTAAAAACATTTATTTGACAAGTTCTTATTTAGAGTTCATAATAATCCCTGTAATGATAACCACAAAGCTACAAGAGGGGTGTGAGAGGAATTTCATCTGTATTGCTAGGCATACAAAGGGGGGTTTTTCTTTTTGACTAAGGTAAGTGAATGAATTATTCAGGGCCTTTTCACTGGCATTTAAAAATCATAGCTCCATGCTTTAAACAATAGCACAAATAAAAAAATTTAAAAAGAAGAACTGGCTAATCCCCAAGCCACAAAATATCAACTGACATCTACCCATGTCTATTCAGGGTGCTACTAACTGATTTTTGGTGTTGGTAAAAGCAGAGTCTTTTAGTGCTCCTACTGGTTTTAACAGCATAGCATAGAGAATATAGTCGATTTCAAGAGGATACTTCTAGTAGCAACCTACCCACTTCCCTGGGAACAAAGAAATAGAATGGACCTGCCATTTTCTCAATCCATGACAGAAAGGAAGATTCCCTGGTCCTGTATTTCACAATGGTTTGGAATCCGAGGGCCTTGGGAAAAGCAGGATGCAGACAGCCCTGTCTCTGGAGTCACCCCACTAAACCCTGATATTCGTAAAAACGCTTGCACACAACCTGTGAGAAAAGCAATTAGAATTCAGAATCAAATGACTGTAACTCTCTAACTGCCCTATCCGGGTCATCTCGGGAATGTGAGTGGAGCCTCCGAGCTTCAGTTTCCTCCTGAGGCGGCAGGAGAAGAGATCCTGAGCTACCTCCCTATGGGGTCAGGGTCACTCATATAATATGGGACAAAGCACTGAAAACTATTAAGATTTATTTCTTTAAATTTTGTTCTTATTTTCCCCATTTTGTAGACAAGGAATGAGAGCTTTACAGCCTTGTCCAAGCTCACAGTCAGTTAAGGCAGAGCAGGACCCCAGCCAGGCATTCTCATCCAAGGCTTTGGTTCTTCCCAGCCCTCAGTCTGGGTCAGTTTGAGCTGCTATAACAGAGTACCACAGTCTGGGTGACTTAAAACAAAAGAAATTCATTTGTCACAGTTCTGTAGGTTGGGAGTTGCCAGTGGGGTAGGTTTCATTGTGGGGACTCTTCTCATGACCTGTGGATAGCCACCATTTCCCAGTGTGCTTACACAACCCCTTCTTTGTGTGCATGTGGAGAGAGAGAGAGCTCTCTGGAGCCCCGTATTATAACCCTAATCACCTCTCAACGGCCCCATCTCCAAAGGCCATCACATCAGGGGTTAGGGCTTCAACATAAGAATTTGGGGAGGGGGGCCAACACAAACATTCAGTCCAGAAAAAGGGGTAACAGTGGCCTCCTTTATCCAACTACATCTTTTCAGTTCAGGTCAACAAATATTTGCTGACAAGCTGCTAGGTGCCAAGTACAGCCCCAGGCCTCAGGGAGAAAAAGGATGAATAAAAGAGCTCACTGAACATCAGTCTAGTGCCTTGGAAATGGTCTACAGAAAGAGCATTTGTGACATGTGGGCTTTTGTGACTGAGTACAGCACCGTTTATTGGAGCAAACTTCAGAGATCATCTTCAGATAGCTGTGTCTGAAACAGTTGCAATGCAAATCTGCCAACTAATCAGTACACAGTATTTGATAAGGTAATCAATGTATTAGTTTACTGAGGAAAGTAGGGAAGGGAAGGAAGAAGGGATATTTCCAAAATTTCAGCCTAGAGATGCTTATGAGAAAACACAAAGGATCTGCTCCTCCTGGTAGGAAATTATCGAGTCCAGTTATATCATGATGATTATAGCATAACTGGATATTTACTAAGTATATTTAATTTTTCTTAATTGGGTTGCCAAAATTAAAACTACTTTCTGGGTTGGAAAACTGAAGGGGCTCAGTTTCAATTAATGCCTATGGGTAACATCTACATGGCAGTAGGAGGTGTGTGGATGCTAGTAGCTTTTTGTATTTTTATATATAAGTATTTAGTCCAAAACAAATGGGACATTACATATATGTAAAGTCTCATTCAACTCTTATAACAAGCCTATGAGGAAATTTTGTTGTCCACACTTAGAGAATTTTAAAATGAAGATCAGAAAAGTCAGAGATAGTAACTGAGCACTAAAATATTCTTGCCAACCATTCAAACTTTATTTTGTTTACTTACTGGTACAAACAACCATGCCCTCCCATCTGCTCCCAAATCTAGCTCTTAAGGATTTTTTTCCCTGTTGTTATATTTGGTATGCTACTTCATTTTAGTAAGTAGTATGGGGGTGAGGATGGGTCTTTCTTGAAGGTAGAGATTTTTGAAAAGGGATAAGCTTATGTAAATTTCTACTTCCCTTCAAAACCAGACAAAAACCCCAAGAGAGAAGAGACCTCGTTCCATCCTCTCTGGTGAATGGGTGTGTTTTATCTGTGGCCCTGGGGTCTGGAGGAAGCCAGATGGCCAGTCCACCTCTCCCAAGCAGCCCAAGCATAAGAGCTTCCAGTTTCAGTCCCCATTTGAGGCTGGATATTCAACAGAGGTACATTGGAAACCAGGCCTGAGGACTATAGTGGACTGAATAATGGTGCCCCCAAATGACTGTGTCCCAATCCCTGGAACATGTGAACGTTACTTTATATGGCAAAGACTTCGCAAATGTGATTAAATTAAGGATCTTGAGATGGGAGATTACCTTGGGTTATCCAGTGGGCCCTAAACGCCACCACATGTGTCCTGATAAGAGAGAGGTAGAGGGAGATTAGATATAGGAGAGGAAGAGGCATGGTGACCACCAAGGCAGAGACTAGAGTGAAGTTGCCTCACGCCAGGAAATGTTAGCAGCCACTAGAAGCTGGAAGAGGGAAGAGAGGGATCCCCCTAGAGCAGTGATGGCGAACCTATGACACGCGTGTCAGAGGTGACACGTGAACTCATTTTTTTGGTTGATTTTTCTTTGTTAAATGGCATTTAAATATATAAAATAAATATCAAAAATATAAATCTTTGTTTTACTATGGTTGCAAATATCAAAAAATGTCTATATGTGACACGGCACCAGAGTTAAGTTAGGGTTTTTCAAAATGCTGACAGGCTGAGCTCAAAAGGTTCGCCATCACTGCCCTAGAGCCTCTGGAGGGAGCACAGCCCAACTGAAACCTTGATTTGGGCCAGTGAAACTGTGGACTTCCAGCCTCCAGAACTGTAAGAGAACAAATTTCTGTTGTTTTAAGCCACCAAGTTTTGGGGAGTTTGTAACAGTAGCCATGGGTAAATATGATGGGGCAAAAAGTCAGAGAATTAGAAAATTAGAGAAAGAGAGACAGTTTCATGTACCAATCACTGACTTCATCTCACCAAATATTATTTTATGATTGTGATATTTAGCAATTTCTTGTGTCAAGAGAGATTGCAAGATAGGCTTTGGGGTAAAGAGCACTATGGTTAATGCAATAGTTAAGCCCTACAGGTCTATAACACGTACTAAACAAAGCAGAAATTCCTTGGACCTCTGAATTTGGTCTCTTGGTGGCAACAGTGAGTCCATACAGGAGTTAACTTTGAAATACAAAGAAACATAAAACCATTCTTTATGATGGCTGCACAGCTGTGAAATGTTCCATGAGTGACTGCAGTTCTCATCCCGAGTCCCCAGATCTCGTGGACTTTATTCAAAGGGTCTGAGATCTGAATAAGAACTGTATGTTAATTCTTAGATGCACCATGATAATTTGGCACTCTAACTAGAAGCTACATATGTCTTATGGGAAGGCAGCAAAATGATTGTGTGGGACCCTGTAGGCCAAGGAGTTTGGATTTTATTCTAAAAGTCATAAGGCAGCATGGAGGAGCTGACACAGGAAAAGGAAATGACTGGAATTGGATTTGGGAAGATGCTCTGACTGCCCTGTGTGGGTAGGAGGTGTGTAGAGAGGTAAGCAGCTCAGTAGTTCAGGAACTGATAATGGTGCCTGAATTATGAGAGTGAACATGAAGATGAAAGAGAAGGCACACTGGAGATATATTTAGAGGTAGAATCTAGGTTAGTCTGATTAATTGGAGGTGAATCGGGGATGACTCCCAGGGATCTTGCATAAGCAAGCTAAAAGATGATGGCTGGGAAGGCTGGCAACGGGTGAGGACAAGGAGCTGGGGGCTTGTTTTAGGAGTTGGGGGTGGGAATCAAGCCTCCAGTTTAGGAAATATTATGTTACAAATAAGTAGAAATAACAAGTAAGTGGTGGAATATGGGAATTTGGAACCCAGAAGGGAGTCCTAGACCAGTGATGGCGAACCTATGACACGCATGTCAGAGGTGACACGCGAACTCATTTTTTTTGGTTGATTTTTCTTTGTTAAATGGCATTTAAATATATAAAATAAATATCGAAAATATAAGTCTTTGTTTTATTATGGTTGCAAATATCAAAAAATGTCTATATGTGACATGGCACCAGAGTTAAGTTAGGGTTTTTCAAAATGCTGACACACCGAGCTCAAAAGGTTCGCCATCACTGTCCTAGACCATAAATTTTGAGCATCATTGGAGTAGAGATGGCATTTAAACTATGCTATAAAAAAAGAAGCAAATACTTAATTGGTAGCACAGGTAGGTAGGTTATTTGAAAATGAAGGCTGCTCCCCCCTTTTGTCTCCCCCCCCCCCCCTCACACACACACACACACACACACACACACACACACACACACACCAGCCAAAAAATAACTAATAATTTGTCAGGGCTTAACTGGAGAGCATGGGGAGTGGCTGACTATTTGGCTGCAATTTAAGTGCTTTGGGAAGAAAATTAAATAATCAAATCTGAAGCCATTCTTAAAAATGCTTGTTGTAATCCAACATTGCATACTATTTTTATCTTTCACTTTGGGCACTTTTCTTTAAAATGATATGATATAGAGTATAGATGACAGATTGCTAGATAATTGAAATTTAAGGTGAAATACGGTAAATACTTAGAGATTATAGTTATGTTGAAGGTATGAATGAATAAATGAATGAATGAATGGGAGGGTGGATAGATGGATGAATGAACAAACAGACTAAGAGACTGATAGAGACAAATTGTAAACACTGTTTTATATTTGACACATAGTGGGTAATTTAACATTTACCCAAAAAGGTTATCCAGAGGAAAGGTTGTGCTTACTGTTGGTGAAGCCTTGAGGAGTTGGGAAGGAGATAGGCCATGTGGCCAGGAGAACAATCTCTAGATTTACTAATTCTCTTTCAAATTTCAAGAAACATAATATATCAGTGAGCAAAATATTTAATTCCTAAATGAGGAGTTGCATTTTCAGGATGTAAGAATCACATGTGAATACCCCCCACCTGCCAAAGGCCATGATTCAGTGTAGAATATAAGAAAATGTTTTTCATGATAGGTTCACTAGGGAATATTTGATAATCTGAAAACAATTAATAATACATCAGACTATCTCCCTAATTAATACCATAAGCATATAATGCCAACATGAAACTCTGAGAAAAAATAAGAAAATGCAGTCAAGAAAGGATTACAAAGTCTTGGTCCAAAGGCAAGAATAACCTCCCCCCCCCGTGTGCGAAGTCTTCAACTCATCAAAGACACGACACAGATGCCAAATTCTGTGAGCGCAATCCAGCCCTTTCAAGGTCAGTGAGCCCGAAGTGAAGTTCAACTTTCACTCTGACCCTCTTCTGTGAGATGCCAGCTCCTCCAATCTCAATAGAAATCAGCAAGCTTCTTCGGCCATTCTTCCTTGCCTAGGGTCGTTAGTGAGCCTGGTATCTACAACCCAGTCAACTTTGCACAAAACCACAGTTTAGATGGAAAATCACTTTGGGTTTCTGGCTCATCAGCAGAACTGCACATCTAATTAGCTCAACAATTGGTCCCTGTGATAAAATCAGCCAGTTTTATGTTCAAATGACTGCTCTGTGCTAAGCAATCCTGTCACTCTAAACTTCACATATAAAGTTGCTGAAGAAGCTGGTTCCTAGGAGGTCACTGGGGGCAAACTAACGAAGACTATCAAATTAGTACCCAAGTCAATGTTACAGTTACGACATAGGGGGCCTACCAGGGCTCAAATAAGGTGAATTCCCAGAATGCAGTGACAGGGCCAGAAATGCCAGCTCTTATAAGGGAAAATAGTCTGCAGACATAAAACACATGGAAGGAGTCATCTGCAGAACCTCCCACTCTTAGAAATAAACCTAAATGTTTATGATTACAGAGTCCTACGAACTAATCTAGGATTGTTAAGAAATTACTCTTCCTATTGAAGACCTCTGTCGTTTCAGGAATTTGTTCAGGTCACGCTGGGGAGAAAACATAGGCTTCTTCCTGTCCTTCTCTCACCTACTGAGGCAGCTGGTGATATCTGAGACTCTCTCCCACTCTGTGCGATCATTAGAAACCACATTACTTTTTAAGGTAAATGTAAAAGCACAAATCAACTTCTTTATGGTACAGAGCTAATTATTTCACCTCCCACAGGCATTTTGAATTAGTAATTTCTTGTGTGTGTGTGTGTACATTATCAATTATACCAATTGAATGGACAGTTGGTTAGAAATCTATACAAGTTTCCAGTTTGGAAATAAGAAATATATAAATGCATATAATTTTGCATAAAGATAAGAAAGATACATATATACCACAGTAAACATACCCATTTTATCTATGTATGCATTAGATAAATATAGTAAGAGATATAAAAATGACTTCATTATGTAAAGTGCTTTAAACAGTGATTAGCATGTAGTAAGCACGCAGTTGGTACTGTTTTTGCTGTCCTATCATTATCTTGATCATTATTTAGCTACATATACTATATATAAATATATTATGTAAACTACATATATAATCGTATGTTATATAACTATGTAATTGTAGCAGGATTCCTGCTGAAAATTAAACTTGTTTCTCTCTTTCTCTGCTGTAACAGAGGTGCCAGAAAGTCACTGAATCTTGGCAAACCACTCTTGGGACATTGTGGTCAGCTGCCTGGCCCGGGTTGGGTAAAGGACCCCTTGTAGCTCGTCTCGTGCACCAGCGCAGATCCTCTTGGCCTCACTTTTCTCTCCCCTGCCCCATACCTCTGCAGTGCCCAGCTCTGCATAGACTCGAATTAGCTTTACGAAGGCACAATCCTGCAACACCTCACCTCACACCTATGCCATGTGCCTCTTGCCTCCTGCCTCCTGCCCGAGGGACACAGTATCCTGAGCCCACACATGTGCAAACCAGAAGTGGGAGATGGCATCCAATGGTCATATGCTTCCCTTCTTCCCCGAGAATGACTAGTCATTTCATAAGGACCAAGCAACTGGTTAGCAATAGCAGTAGCAGGGACAAACCTGAGTTGGTTCTCCTCCTTTGCTTTTCCACTCCTCCTCCCCTGTACTCCTGCTCCATGGCACCACATGCCGCAATAAATCTTCACACACAAGCCTTTGTCCTGGGATCTGCTCTCTATGATACCCAGACTAAGATAAAAATCACAGTGGTCACCCATGTGCCGGCATGCAGTCAGCCCTCCCGCTCCTGGAGTGGTGACAGTCAGACACTTTGTTCTTTTCTTCCAGAAAAGGAAAATGAGTTGATCCCATGTGGTGTAGATGTGAAAAGGGGGAACGGGATGGTAGTTCCTGGTGCTCAAGCAGGGGACAGAGGATAAGTCCTGAGCCAGGGCTTCTGGGTGGGGCCCATGGAAGTGGCTGTGTCAGGAATGAGCGAGCTTTCTGCACTTGACTGAGCTTAGTCAGGGGTCCCCGGGCTTTCAGTACCAGCTCCCCCCAGAGGTGCCTGGAAAGTGGACCCTCATGCTGTGCATCTCCAGAAGGGGAAGGAGAGCAGTCCCCAAAGAAGCCCTCTGACGGCAATGAGGACTTGTGCCCCATGGCAGTCTGTGTCCTGGAAGTAAGCCCACGCAGGAGTAAAATGCTTGGAATCCTGAGTCTCCCAGCTGGGGAGCCAGACTCATATGCCCCCTCACGTGGAATCCGAGATGTGACAGCATTTGTTCTGTGACTCCATGATAAAGCAGATACATGTGCTTATGTTAACAGCAATGAATATCTGTATGCTGGGGGCACAGAAAACCACAATATTTATGCAAAAAAGATCCTACTTTAATAAAACAAGCAAAAAATGTATATATGTATATGAATGTATGTATTTAATTCCCATATGCTTAGGTACAGAACATCCAAAGAGCATTTGGCTAGAATAACTGTCTAGAACAGTGATGGCGAACCTCTGACACGCGAACTCATTTTTTTGGTTGATTTTTCTTTGTTAAATGGCATTTAAATATATAAAATAAGTATCAAAAATATAAATCTTTGTTTTACTATGGTTGCAAATATCAAAAAATTTCTATATGTGACATGGCACCAGAGTTAATTAGGGTGTTTCAAAATGCTGACACGCCGAGCTCAAAAGGTTCGCCATCACTGGTCTAGAATATAAAAATAACATTCCCCAAATCTCAAAAAATAATGGAGAAATTAGAAAAACAGTTAATTAATATTTAATATCTAAATTTTATTTCATATGCATTTCCATTGTATAAAATCAATGTGGGTTCCACTTAACGCTAAGGGTAAGAAACTATATTGGGGTAGAAACCAGAAATTAGGTGTAAGTCAGCCTCTTCAACATCACATGGAAGGCACTGACCTTTTGCACTTAAAATTTTCATTGTGAACACCAAATCATTCTGAGATATTCTGGAAAGAAATTAACACCCTTCCAAAGTGTCTTAGTATTGCTATATTCCAGGACTGTGAATCTTTACAATAGGCAATTTATATATAGCATCAATCATAGGTAACTTTAAGTATTAATTGTTAAGATTGTCTTTATAATTAAACTAGAGGCCTGGTGCACGAAATTCGTGCACTGGGGGGGGGGGGGCCCTCAGCCCAGCCTGCACCCTCTCCAATCTGGGACCCCTCGGGGGATGTCCAACTGCCAGTTTAGGCCTGATCCCACAGGACCTAAACTGGCAGTTGGACATCCCTCTCACAATCTGAGACTGCTGGCTCCCAACTACTTGCCTGCCTGCCTGCCTGATCCCCCCCTAACCACTCCCCTGCCAGCCTGATTGATGCCTAACTGCTCCCCTGCCGGCCCGATTGCCCCCAACTGCCCTCCCCTGCAGGCCTGGTCGCCCACAACTGGCCTCCCCTGCTGGCCTGGTCACCCACAACTACCCTCCCCTGCTGGCCATCTTGTGACGGCCTTTTTTTGATCTCATAGGGGTGGCCATCTTGTGCGAGGAGATGATGGTCAATTTGAATATTACCTCTGTATTATATAGTATAGAAATAATTTTTAAGTTCTTGCTTGGGGCTGATTCTGAAACCAGAACAATGTCCTGTCTGGTGCAGACATTTCCCCACCCTTCTCTCAGATGTTGGTGTTCCTCAGGCCTAGGCCTTCTCCTCTCATCTCATCACTTTCCTCAGTGAGTCTATCAGCAACTTGGGCTTCATTTACTAAGTATAAGTAAACTCCAAATAATAATAAGGGCTGCCATTTGTTGAGCACTTACTATGTCCTAGGTCCTGTACTTTACAAGCATTAACCCAGTTAATAGTTGTAACTGCCCTCCCTGCAAGGTAGGAACAGCCCACTTCTTCTAGCAATCACTCAGATGCCCATATCATGGGTAGCTCAAACTCCACATTCCCAAACTTAACTTACCTTCCCCACACATCTGCCTGTGCTCCTCCATAACATCATACAAGTCATCACTGTCCAGAAATGTGTAAGTCACTCTGGACTCCTCCCTCTCATTTATTATCCACTCCCAATCAGTTCCAAGTTCTATGAGTTCTACTTCCTAAGTATCCCTCATTCTATTCATATTTTTATCTTCTAGACAAAGCTCCCATCATTCCTGGCCTGGAGACCTGCAACAGCCACCCAGCTCATCTCTCTGCATCTAGTCCTATTTTTCTAATTCTGGCTACTCTACTAGCTTAACCTTATGACACTGGGCATCTAAAATATGGGGATAATAATGAGGTCTCTCATCCTTATAGGCTGCTTGAGTAAATATGATATATGGCATCTAAGTGTTAGGCGCTTAATGAAATCTTAACTCAGCTGACATATAAATTGAGGCGATTTGATGCTAGAGACTACACGCTTAACTGCCACCACATATGTCCAGGGAAGCCCACCATAATCAGAAAGGTCATGATGAAAAAGGATATGAGAAAGAATAATTTAGAATTAAAAGTTTTTTAGGATATAAATATAAGTATACTTAAGTTATTCTAAAACTTAACAGCTTAAAACAACACAGCTTAGTTAGGTGCTCCTGGCTTGAGGTCTTTCATGAGGTTGCAAACTATTAGCTGGGGCTGCAATCTCATCTGAAGACCTGCCTGAGGCTGAGGGGCTTCCAATCTCACTCAGTGGTTCATGGAGGCCTTCGCCCACTGCCACGTGAGCCTTTGCTCAGGGCTGCCTGACCACACGGCTACTGGTTTGCCCCTGGACAGGTGATCCAAGGGGCAGTGAGAGAGAAAGGGCCCCAAGATGTAAGTCATAATCTTTAATAAACTCATCTCAGAGGTGCTATCCCATCACTCTATCATTCAGTAGAAATGAGTGATTAAATCCAACTCATACTCAAGGAGAGGGGATTACACACAGCCAGAGACCACTGAGGGCCATCCTACAGGCTGCTTACTAGTACCACCCAGGTAGACATCACCCCTTGCAGGGACAGAGGGGGTGTGCTGAGGAAAAGGTGGGGCCTGTCAGCATATCCTTTAGCCCTCTCTGTTTTTGGAGTTACACTGAGTTGCATGTCCTGCTAATTCTTCATCAGTAGATACACTCTTGTTCCTGCCTCCTCCTCACCACCACCTCTGCCGCATGTGGGACAGGTTGGAGAACCCACACATTCTTAGGAACTGTTGCATATCAGACTATTTACATAATTCTAAAATAGATCAGCATTACAGTAGCTACTCGCTCTGTTGTTAAATGTGAATCCAAATCAGGGGAATTGGGGAGACTGGGTGAAAAAGGTGAAGGGATTAAGTACAAATTGGTAATTATGGAACAGTCACAGAGATGTAAACTACAGCATAGGGAATATAGTTAATAATATTGTAATAACTATGCACGGGACCCCATGCATACTTGAAATATCGGGGGGACCACTCTGTAAAGTACATGATTACCTAACCATTATGCTGTACATCTGAAACTAAGACACAATTATATTGAATGTAAATTGTAATAAAAAACTTTAAAAATTTAATTAAAAATAAAGTGGATTAAGTATAACTATAAAAAATAAAACAACAATAATTAAAATTTAAGCATCATGAAGTTCTAAAAATTAAAGCAACTCAACTTATTATTATTATTATTTTTAATCCTTACCCGAGGATATTTTTCCATTGATTTTTAGAGAGTGGAAGGAAGGAGGAGAGACAGAGAGAGAGAAACATCAATGTAAGAGAGACACATCAACTGGTTGCCTCCCACACAGGCTCCACAGGGGCTGGGCCTGCAACTGAGGTACATGCCTTTGTAAGAGAGACACATCAACTGGTTGCCTCCCACACAGGCTCCACAGGGGCTGGGCCTGCAACTGAGGTACATGCCTTTACCAGAATCGAACCTGGGACCCTTCAGTCCATGGGCTGATGCTCTACCCACTGAGCAAAACTGGCTAGGGCAACTCAACTTACTTTTAAAAGAATTAAATCTCTATTGGAGGAGATTTTTAAATTATAACACAAGTTAATAGTGAAAATAATTATTTTATGATATAATGTCCATATTTCTGAGAAGTATTTTTTACTGTATTTCAATCTACTATTATGAGCAACACACAGAGCATTACAGGTTGAATGTGTGTAGAAACACAGGAGAAAAGGGCTGTCTACCAGCCAAGGGGAGAGGCCCTGAGCAGATCCTTCCCCACAGGCCGCAGGAGGCCCACAACTGCCCTCCCCTGCTGGCCTGGTCACCCACAACTACCCTCCCCTGCTGGCCATCTTGTGACGGCCTTTTTTTGATCTCATAGGGGTGGCCATCTTGTGCGAGGAGATGATGGTCAATTTGAATATTACCTCTGTATTATATAGTATAGAAATAATTTTTAAGTTCTTGCTTGGGGCTGATTCTGAAACCAGAACAATGTCCTGTCTGGTGCAGACATTTCCCCACCCTTCTCTCAGATGTTGGTGTTCCTCAGGCCTAGGCCTTCTCCTCTCATCTCATCACTTTCCTCAGTGAGTCTATCAGCAACTTTGGCTTCATTTACTAAGTATAAGTAAACTCCAAATAATAATAAGGGCTGCCATTTGTTGAGCACTTACTATGTCCTAGGTCCTGTACTTTACAAGCATTAACCCAGTTAATAGTTGTAACTGCCCTCCCTGCAAGGTAGGAACAGCCCACTTCTTCTAGCAATCACTCAGATGCCCATATCATGGGTAGCTCAAACTCCACATTCCCAAACTTAACTTACCTTCCCCACACATCTGCCTGTGCTCCTCCATAACATCATACAAGTCATCACTGTCCAGAAATGTGTAAGTCACTCTGGACTCCTCCCTCTCATTTATTATCCACTCCCAATCAGTTCCAAGTTCTATGAGTTCTACTTCCTAAGTATCCCTCATTCTATTCATATTTTTATCTTCTAGACAAAGCTCCCATCATTCCTGGCCTGGAGACCTGCAACAGCCACCCAGCTCATCTCTCTGCATCTAGTCCTATTTTTCTAATTCTGGCTACTCTACTAGCTTAACCTTATGACACTGGGCATCTAAAATATGGGGATAATAATGAGGTCTCTCATCCTTATAGGCTGCTTGAGTAAATATGATATATGGCATCTAAGTGTTAGGCGCTTAATGAAATCTTAACTCAGCTGACATATAAATTGAGGCGATTTGATGCTAGAGACTACACGCTTAACTGCCACCACATATGTCCAGGGAAGCCCACCATAATCAGAAAGGTCATGATGAAAAAGGATATGAGAAAGAATAATTTAGAATTAAAAGTTTTTTAGGATATAAATATAAGTATACTTAAGTTATTCTAAAACTTAACAGCTTAAAACAACACAGCTTAGTTAGGTGCCCCTGGCTTGAGGTCTTTCATGAGGTTGCAAACTATTAGCTGGGGCTGCAATCTCATCTGAAGACCTGCCTGAGGCTGAGGGGCTTCCAATCTCACTCAGTGGTTCATGGAGGCCTTCGCCCACTGCCAC